GAAATGTCAATGCATCAGTTTTACATGTCCTTTAGTTCCCATGTGGATGGATGTTTTATTGCACTGTGATATCACATCAGTAGTTTATAATATAGCCAGGTGTAAATGCCATGCAAGTCGACATAATGAATAGTGTTTAGACTAAATGATTTGTGGCAGAATATAAATTTGTACAATGCCAGACATTTCCACATGGAAGTATCCATGTAGACTGCTGCTTCCAATTTGGGAGGAGAAAACGTCCAGGCTATAATTTAGTCTCTCTCGTCCTTCCTTCCATAATCTCTCCACATCATTTACATTTCACACTCTGTCGACCCTAAAATTTCCACATTTCTCAGCTCTTTACATTCTGCTCATGTCTGCGTAAGAGCTGCTATTTTCTCTAGCGTTCGCGCATATGCGTGCAGGAAAGAGAAATGGGAGTGATTTTGGAGTGTACACATACTGGCAGACTGCCAATCTCATCCCATCACTGTCTCACATGGGTCTTTGAGCGCTCTGTGTTGGGGGCTACAGTTGATTGATTGATAGGTGGTCTTCTCTGTTGAGCTTTTCAGATACGGCTTTAGCATAAATCTATGCCTGTTGGAAGGCGAGTGCTAACGACTGCGGTCTAGCCTATCCCTCAGTTTGGATAGGTTTGTAATATTATACATGCACAACACTGTACTTACATGTATATTATACAGCAGTTAGTTCCGGTCCAGTTGGGATGGACAAGTGCTAAAATTTATTATAATTATAGTTTAACACAGGAATTCCATTGTTGTACACTCTTAGGAAAAATAGGTACTGGGACAGGTGTCACTGGGACAGTACCCGAAAGGTACTAATAAATAACATTTAGGTACGAATATGTACACTTTAGTTACTAAAATGTACCTTTAAGGTTTTAATATCCACACATTGGGAATAAATATAGCGCAAAGATGCTCCTTTAGAAAGGGTACCACCCCAGTGACAGCTTTTGTACTTTTCTCTGAAAAGGTGTAGTATAATACTATTAGTATTAGTATTATTATTAACAAACTAACTAACCCTAACAACAACCATGGAATTATTATTCCAAAAAAATGCAGATTTTAATTTTCAGTCTTTTGTTTGTCAGTTTTGTTTGCCTTGGCAGCTGTATAAGGTGTTAAATATCATATTGCAGTTTTTTTTTTTTTCAAGTTCAAGTTTTTTTGTTTTGTTTTTTGTTTGCTTTGTTTTGCTTTTTGTTTTGTTTTGAGGTTGTTGTGTTTTTTTTTTTTTTAAATAGCATTTAATAGCATGCCACTAGCAAACATGCTATTATAGGGCTGTGCAATTAATCGCTTGCGATTGTCAAGCGCATCTCGTCAGTAAAGCCGGTTCCGTGATTGGTAGTAAATCTCCATCACCTGCTTTCAGATGGAGCGGCATTTAATACACAGAGCCGTAGTTCACTGACAAGCTAGGCAATATCGCGTTCATAATCGAATGGGATTCATCTGCGATTATGATCGCGATATTGCCTAATTGTCAGTGAACTACGGCTCTGTGTAGTAAATGCCGCTCCATCTGAAAGCAGGTGATGGAGATTTACTACTAATCACGGAACCGGCTTTACTGATGAGATGTGCATGACAATCGCATGCGATTAGTTGCACAGCCCTATGCTATTATACAGAATATTATACTGAATACTGTGAACACGTTACCATCTCCCGTAAAATAAAAGGCCTTGTGTTGTTGTGCCGAAGCAGAATCATTATGATCTGTCTCTGTCCCTGCTCAGCAAACATTAAATTTAAACTGCAATCATGGGTCAATCACTCATGCCCCATAAATCCACGAGCACTATCGCTTAATTGAATTGCCTGGTTTTGAGAACCCAAGGCAAGTCTAGCTCTCTCTGTCTCCATCCGTCTCAAACATATCTTTAATCTCTCATCATGGGGTCCAAATGGAAACACAGCAGGCTCTTTAGCTGGAGAGATACACCGTGTTTAGCTCATCCCCTGTGTGTGTGTGTGTGTGTGTATGGCCATATGCTCATTACGGCTCGGTGGTATGACAGTGTATAACGTGTGTCAGTAGAAATGGCAACAAATATCCAATCCTGCTGTCTAGTGTGATATGTCCTCAGCATGATTTTAAATATCTGACAACACCAAGCAAAAATTGTATTCTATTTGGCAGTGATAAACACAGTATCATTTGACCATATCGGTTATCTGCCTATTTTATTTTATGTCATTTCATTTTGGTTGATGTTAAATTGTGAACACTCATTTCCCTAATTTTTATCTTTGTCTTATGAATGCACACATACAGTTAATATTTAAATTGAATAACACTGTTAAATTTAATCTTTAGCCAATCCCCCCCCCC